AATAAATAAATAAATAAATTTGGGGGAAGGAATAAATGCAGGGTAGAATGAGCAAACGGTCCCTGAAATGCTAATCGACCTGGATCTGATCATGACAGTGAGGATTACTGTCATTCAGCTCAACAACGGGTTGAACAAATATTTGCTGATGAAGTGCAAAGCCCGATTTCCTAGGCCCCGAGGAAGGCTCTTCCGCTTGCCCCAGGACTCTGTCTCCTGGGGGGGCTTCTGGGAGGAGGAAGTGAGATCATAGTGGGTCAGCTTGGAGCCCTACAACCCCGAGTTCCCAGCCCCCTGTCAGGCCCGAGACGTCTCGGGGTCTCTCCAGGTGGGAGGGAAGAAGTCTCAAAGCGGAGGTACATTTCCTTCAGCTCTCTAGCCTGTAGGCCCCATCGGCTCTGCGGCCTCTGAGTCTGTGAAGCAAACGTGAGGGCAGAGTCATTCCTCCTGGTTCCAGGTTTTCTCTCGAGCTGGGAGAATTTTACAAATCAACTTGATTTTAGCTATTATAATAAAGAGATTCTTTTTTTTAAACGACATGACATCTTTTCAAGCGAAGCTTCTCTCAAGCACCAAGTTTTCCAGAATGGGACTTAGTGGATAGAAATCCCATAAACTGCCCGGTGGTCCCTGTTGCAAAGGAAGTCAGGTCCATGGTGCAGCCGGGAGCCGCCCGGCTGGGTGGCATTCGGTCCTCCTGAACTCCCGGGCTCGCGCTCTGTCCAGAGCAGATAATGGGAGGATTAGCTCACCTTGAAAACTCCTACAAGTGCTGACAGCTTCCGCTCTGAGCCAGACACTAGGAACGTTGAGATGAATAAGGCAGCTCTGCCCTTATTCACAAGGAGCTGCCCACAAACACCTCTGGTTTAGGAGGTGAGTCAGACATACAGATAAAACAGTATAGCTATAGTGTGATAGGTGGTGGTCCTGAGCAGGGGCTGCAGAATTAGGGCAGGGAGCAGTGGCCTCTCTGTACCTCCGTGCGTGTGTGTGTGTGTGTGTGTGTGTGTGTAGGTGTAGAGAAAGGCTTCGTTCAAAGGGACAATTAAAATGAATCTTGGAAGAGTTCAACAGGTTGACCAAAGGGATAAGCCATCCCAGGAAGAAGGCACAGTACATGCAAAGGCCCTGAGGCAGGAAGCAAACTGCTGGATGTGGGGAATGGCCAGTCCTTTAGTTCGGCCTGCAGGTGGGGAGGGAGTGGTGACCCTGGAGGAGGCCGCAGGAGGGCTTCGAATGCCGGGCATTGCTGTTCAGGCCCTGGGGGGCCCGTGAGGGTTTGAACTGGCAGTGGTGGACCCAGGCATCATTTTAGGGAGTTCCTCAACCTAGAAAGTCTCCACTCCCTGCAAGGCTGACTTGTTCTTATTCTTTTTTTTTTTTTAAATGTTTTATTTATTCATGAGAGTCAGAGAGAGAGAGAGAGAGAGAGGCAGAGGCAGAGGGAGAAGCAGGCTGCCCGCCCAGCAGGGAGCCCGATGCGGGACTCGATCCCAGGACCCTGGGATCATGACCTGAGCCGAAGGCAGACGCTTAACCATCTGAGCCACCCAGGCGCCCTTGTTCTTATTCTTTAGACAAGACTCAAATATCATTTCCTTCTCCAGGAAGGTAGCTCCTCCCAGCACTCACCGTTTGCCACATCACCCGCTTTATTTCCTTCCTGGAAATGATCACAGCCTCATTTACTGTATGTCTCTCCCTCAAAGAGGCTGAGTCCCCGAGGGCAGAGACCATGTCGATCTCGTTCACGGCTGTGTCTTTGGCACCCGGATCAGTGCCTGGCACAGAGTGGGCGCTCATGAATGCTGCTTTGAATGAACTGTCCCTGGAGAGGTGACAGGTGATACAGGACAGGAGGTAGGGACCCCCTCCCAGAGAGGTCAAGGCCACCCCTGAGGAGTCAGAGTTAGAGTCACCCCCCCAACCCTATATAGGCCCCTGGTCCAAGACAGCCACCCATCCCTGCCTCACCCCCAGAGCACTGGCTCCCTGGAGTCCTGGGAGCACGGGGTCCTGGCCCGGTCTTGGTCTCCAGGATTTTGGGGCTCAGGGCGGTACTCACGGGTGCAGGCTGCAGGTAGTCAGGCCGGCAGGCGGGGCTGGGGAGGCAAGGCTGGAGGCCGGGGCATCCAGGTGAGAGATGAATCAGGTGTGGCGGAGGCTGGGGAGAGGGTCACATACAGGACAGGTGTGTCCCTGTCACGGTAACAGTGACGCAGGCTCTGGGAGGGTCGGGAACCTGAGATTCCGGGTAGTCATTGCTTTGGGAGCTTGGAAAAGAGAGTCCCAGGCCCCACGCCTGGCTCTTCTAACCAGGTGGCCGTGGTGGGGCCTGGAATCTGTACTTTTATGGGGGTCTTATCACCTGGGTCTCTTATCCGGTCACATTGCCACCCACCCCATTCCCTTCCAGCTTTCGTTTCTCCCCAAGTCACAACCCTTGGGTGCTTAGCCTCTTGACCCCCACATCCGAGGCAGTGTCTCACTCAGGGACCGGGGTCCTGTGATGGACAGATTGAGGCTGGAGACAGGCCTGGGCAGGAAGGGCCACTGGAGGAGACCTGACTCTGGTTTGAAGAGGCTCTTTCCTGGGCCGACTTCGGGGCTGGGACTCCCCTCAGCTCTGTCCCCCACTAGCTGTGCAACCCTGTGTAAGTCACAGGCCCTCTCTGTGCTTCAGTCCCTCCATCTGCCAATGAGGGTGGGACCGGGTGATGCTCAGGGTCTGCACCCATGTCCCTTGGGAGATCCCTCTGGAAGTCCTGGGTCAGAGTGAGAGCTGTCCCGGGGCTGGCCAGGGTGGCCCGGCTGACTCCTCTGAAGCCGCCTTGTCCCCCGCAGCCTGTGAGCTGGGCTTCTACAAGTCGGCCCCTGGAGACCAGCTCTGCGCCCGCTGCCCTCCCCACAGCCACTCTGCAGCCCCCGCTGCCCAGACCTGCCGCTGTGACCTCAGCTACTACCGCACAGCCCTGGACCCACCATCTGCAGCCTGCACCCGTGAGTACCGCCCTGAGCCCCAAAATCCTGGAGACCAAGACCGGGCCAGGACCCCGTGCTCCCAGGACTCCAGGGAGCCAGTGCTCTGGGGGTGAGGCAGGGACGGGTGGCTGTCTTGGACCAGGGGCCTATATAGGGTTGGGGGGGGTGACTCTAACTCTGACTCCTCAGGGGTGGCCTTGACCTCTCTGGGAGGGGGTCCCTACCTCCTGTCCTATATCACCTGTCACCTCTCCAGGGACATCTTTCCTTCCTTCCCTTTGTCTTTCCTCTCTGCTTCAGAGGGCAGATGAGAGGAGGCTTTGGTCGTCTCCTGGCCCAGCAGTGATACTGATGTCCCGGGAGCTGGGGTGGGCAAGCCAGAGGAGCCCCCCGATTGCTGTCATCCCTGATGGACCGTTCAGAGCTGCCTTAGTGTGTGGGGGGCTGTGCGTGCATGGGTGTGTATCAGGAATATGCGTGGCTGCCTGCTTGGATGAGGGCGTGCGTGTGTCGGACTGTGTGTGCCCTGGGACACCTGCAGCGAGGATGACACGTGCGTCTGTGTCGGCAGCTGCTCCCATAGAAGATGCCTGCGTAGTGTGTGTAGGCTCGAGTGTGAACATCGGAGTCTTGTGCCCGTGTGGGTGTAAAGGATTGTTAGGGGGGTGTGTGCACCTCTGGGTCCCTGGAGCTCCGAGTCCCCGTAGAGCTTGATTGAATGTGCCTTGTGGGTTCTGCGTGTGGACAGCTGGCCCTGCAGGGGAGGCGTGTGGGCCTGGAGAAGTGTGCTCCCGTGTGCTCGCGCCCTGTGTACCTGAGGGGACTCCGAGGGGCTCTGGCATGTGCCTGCCGGGCTGCGCGACCGTCTCGGCGTCCTGCTCACGGGGCCTGAAGGGGCCTCTCACACTCCCATCCCAGCTCAGCCCACCCCATCTGCCAACCCCGGTCTCTTGGGGTGGGGTGACAGGCGCTTCTCACGGTTCTGACCTGTTCTGCCCCCCAGTCCATCCCAGCCTCAGTCCCCAACCTCCCTCTCCCCCCACGTCCATCACGCCGAGCCCCCAGGCTCCCTGTACATGGCAGGTGAGAGTGTGTGTGCACGCGTGTGCACACACACACACACACACACACACACTCTGTCTCCCTCCCTCCCTCCCTCCCCTCTTCTGTCCAGACCCATGCATTTACCCCATGTGGGACCTGCCAGGGCAGAAAGGGTGGCTGAGTGACATGGTGACTACTGTGGGCTTCGCAGGCAACGTGAACCCCGCTCTAGGTCATGGACACTTGTACTCAGCGAGCCAGACTCCAGTTTTCCTCCAAATCCACAACTCAGTGCCCTCAGGTTCTGGAAATCTTAAGACTGCAGAAGACTAGGCTTTTAGTATTCCATATCCTTCAGATTCTATGATTCTCTATGATTCTGAGATTCTTCCCTTCTATTTTCTTAAGATCTAAGAGTCCCTGCCTGGGATGCTGAGAACTGAAATTCTAAATCCCAGGGCTCCCCACAGCCTCCCATGTCCTCCAGACTCAAATCCCCACCCCCAGGAGCCTACCCCAGCCCCCAGCCCCAGCTCTCCAGAATCTCTGCACTGCCCAGACTGGGGCTCCGTGGGGGTGGGCTCACCCTGCTGCGGAGACCCCGCCGGGCTGCCCGGCGCCTCCACTGCTCTCCACAGCAGTACTCAGTGATGTGCCCAGTAAACCCAGTACAGGGGTTAAGGAGTGCAGTGTGGATCGCAAATGGCAGGGGCCTTTCACACCCAGGGTAGCTGCTGTGGGCACCCCCCAGGGTTGTCAGCCTCTCACCCTGCTCTGGATGGAAACTGGGAAACACAAACCCGGGATCCCTGTGTTCCGGCAGTGGGATGGTGAGGGGCAAGGGCTTAGCTTTCTGGACACAGACCTGACCCTGTGGTCCAGTCTGATGCTACCTCTGCCGTTAGGGAGCAATCAGAGGCTGGAGAAGGCCATGACCTTACCCTTGAGGACCCCCCCCCGAAAATATCACGGGGGAGTCCCAGCCCTCCCCTGGCCCGATGGGGGGTTGGGGCTGGACCAGCCCAGATAAATGCCCTCCGCTGCCAACAGTCACTCTCTGCTCCCCAGGGCCACCCTCAGCACCGGTGAATCTGATCTCCAGTGTGAACGGCACATCCGTGACCCTGGAATGGGCCCCTCCCCTGGATCCGGGCGGCCGCAACGACATCACGTACAATGCAGTGTGCCGCCGCTGCCCTTGGGCGCTGGGCCACTGCGAGACCTGCGGGGGCGGCCCCCGCTTCGTGCCGCGGCAGACAAGCCTGGTGCGGGCCAGTCTGATGGTGGCCAACCTGCTGGCCCACATGAACTACTCCTTCTGGATCGAGGCTGTCAACGGTGTGTCCGACCTGAGTCCCGAGCCCCGCCGGGCGGCTGTCGTCAACATCACCACGAACCAGGCAGGTAGGCGGAGAGGCTCTGTCCCGCAGCTGCCCCAGCTCCTGGCCCTGGCGGGATCGAGTGCGATCACGGGCTCCCTGTGGCCTTCCGGGTGAGGGCCTGTCTCCCCTGGCCCTGCCTTCCTCCCCAGGACTCGGAGCTCCAGGCTCTCCACGCCCTTAGAAGAGTAGAACATACCCTGTAGGTGGGAGGAAGCCAGCCAGGTCAGAGACAGGCTGGCCCGGCATTCGTAGGTTCCAGAACTTTCTCTCCGCCTCTGTTTCTTCCCTGGTGCTTTGGCAATAACAGTACCTTCCTTGGGTACCAGGATGAAGCTTAAGTGGGAGAAATGAACATGCTTAGCCCGGCACCTGGCCCAAGGTCCCTGCTCCATAAATGTCATTAAAAGATAAAATCACTCCGATTATCATTTTCCAGAACACCTGCCACCGCTGCCCCTGGGATGGATTTAGTTGCATTGGTTTGGACAGCAGCCATTGATCTCTGGGTTCCTAGCCAGTTGTTGGGCTGAGTTCAGCCCCTGGAGCCCCTCTCTTTCCCAATTCTGGCGGGTCCTGCCTGTCAAGTGACGGCCCGACCCAAGAGCCCACCAGCCCACGGCAGCTTCGCCATCAACAGCCACCCCAGCACACGTCTAGGACTGCTGTGGCCCTCGCCCCATCCCTGGCCCAACAGAAACCTCACCATGTCACCGAGGAGGAGACCAAGGCTCTGTGTCACCACGTAGGAAGTAGCAGAGTTGGGATTCGAACCCAGGTCTGTCTCGCCCCCAAGTGAAAGGGGACTCCCGACTGTGAGCCCAGGGCACCCCCTCTCTGATGCCAGGGCTTCACCCACTCGAGGGACTCTCATCCGGCCAGCGTTTGTAGGGCACCCACAGAGTGCCCAGCCTTGTCCCCGGGGCTGGTGACACGGTGGGAATAGGCCTGTGTGTCTGGTGCTTGTGGCCCTGCCCTTGCCCACTGGTCTCCAGGGAGACGGGGGCAGGTGGCTGGCTGGGGGGGAAGGGGGAGCCCCAGAGCCCACCACCATTTCTGACAGCATCAGTATGCTTCATCATGGAGAGAAAAACCCTCCCTTGAAGGCACGCTCCCTTCTAGCCACCAGACCCGTTCTCTTCCCAGGGAACCTTCCTGAAAGAGCTGTCTGTGTGGCCTTCTCTGCGTCCTCTTTCTGTGAGCCTCTTCAGGCAGCTCCAGTCAGGCGCATTTCCCCAGCTGTCCACTGAAGCTCAGTGTCCCCACCTGGCCACATGCAGTGGGGACTTCTCTCCCTGGTCTTTCCTCCCTCGTGGAACACTTTTGTCTTGCCCCCATGCCCTGCCCTTCTCCATCCCTGCCAGCCCCTCTTCTCGAAACAGCCTCGGAAGGCTGGAGGACCCCATGCTTGTCCCGGACCCTCCTCTCTTCCCTGTTCAGCCGGGGCCACCTTTTCTGAGTGACCTTACCAGGGCCCATGGCTAGGAACCCCACTGTCATGCTGACATTTTGTCACCAGCACAGACCTCTCCCCTGAGGACCAGCCCCCGGCACCCCCAGACCTGCACCTCCCACAGGCCCCGCCCCAGGACATGGCACCACTGTTCGTGGGGTCGCTCAAGCCCCAAAGCGCATTGTCATCCGGACTCCCCCTCCCTGTCTCCGTACCACATCCACCCACCTGCCAGGCCCACTGGGCCTCCCTCCAGGTGACCATCTCCGCTTCAGCCTCCTTCTGATCCATCTCTCTAAGCTCAGGCTGCCCTAACAAAATACCATAGGTTGGGGGCTTAAACCACAGAAATGTATTGATCACAGTTCTTGAGGCTGGAGGTCCAAGATCAAGGTGCTGGCCAATTTGGTTTCTAGGGAGAACCTTCTTCCTGCCTTCTGGCTGTGTCCTCACAAGGCAGAGAAAGAGAGAAGTCCGGTGTCTCTTCTAACAAAGGCACTAATCCCACAGGGAGGACCTCGCCTGCATGACCCCATCTACACCTAATCATCCCCCTAAGGCCATGACGACAAATACTATCAAGTTGGGGGTTAGGGCTTCAATGTATGAATTTGGGGAGGGGACACAGTCCAGTCCACAGCACATCCCCACCCCCATCCTGTGTTGTCTGGACAACCCCAGGAGCCCGCTCCCCCTCGCCCCGTGATGCCGTCTCACACCACATCCTGAATGAGCTTTAAAAGTGTAAGTGAGGTCTGGTCACACGTGAGCCCTTTACCAGCTTCAGCCTGAGCTCAGATCCCACTGAGACCCTCCCAGGGCCAGGCCAGGGCGCACCCATGCCCCCACCCTGCCCACCTCTCCAGCCTCACCCACCTACTCTCGCCTGGCTCCCTCCCTTGCATCCACACCAGCCTCTCGTCCCTCCGTCCATCTCTTGGAGCCACCGAGCCCTTCCGTGCCTTGGCCTTTTCCGTTTGAGCGACAGGCTCCTCTCTGTGATGTTGGGTGGCTGGTTCCTTCAGTCCTCGGTTCCACTGTCATCCCTGCCCTGGGGAGGCCCACCCTGACCACCCCAGCTAAAATGGCCCCGTTTCCCCCAGCCTCCTATGCATACAAGGTCTGCTCCATCACACGCCGTGCCTTTTTCCTGTCCCTCCTGTGATTACGTATCGATTCGTTTTCTTATTTACTTTCTGTCTCTCTATAGATGATAAGCTCCTTGAGGGCTGCCTTGCTCACTATGGATCCCCAGGTCCTAGCAGACCACAATGCATGTGGAAGGCATTCAGGAATTCTGGGGGGGCCTGGGGCAGACAACAGCCTTGAGCAAATGGGTGAGGTCTGGCTTCAGGGACTGCAGGGCCTCCCCTCTCCTTCCCCTCCCCCTCCCCTCCTCCTTTTCCTCCCCTCTCCTCCTCTCTGTCCCCCTTCTCTACAGCCATCTCCTCCTTAGAGCCGCTCTGGTGCCCCCACCCTGTTTCCCTCCCACCTCTGTGCTCCGGTCTCCTCACAGGGCACCTCTTGCCTTGACAGTTCTTTGTTTTTTAAGGGGCACCCACATACTGCTGGCAGTATCAGATCCTCACCTACGGGCAGGTGGTGCTGCTGGCTTCCCTTTCTGGATGGGGAAACTGCCACCCCAGACAGTAACGGTCCCAGCCAGCCAGCCAGAGGAGGCCGGGTTGTGACCCAGGCCCGATGCCCAGGCTGATAGGGGCCCGGTACCACATACTCCAACTTAACTCTGGAGTTACTTCTTTCTCTTTCACATCAAAGTCACCCAGCAACATTTGGTGGGCACCTACCCTGTGTAACCCCTGCCTTCAGGGAGCTCCAGGTGTGTGGGGGGTGCAGGGGGGGACAGGATGCCCAGATAGGGGGACAGGGGAGGTGTTGGGCAGAGAGTCAGCCTGGCTGCACCCAGCTGTATCTGGCACTTTCCAGCAGACTCACCTCGGGAGTAGGGGCAGTGAACGCAGGAGGGAAGGAGGGAAGGGGTGACTCAGTCACTGTGTGAGGGGGTGAACGGGTGACCTGGTGTGACACAGGAATCCTGGGGCTCAGGTGTGCCCAGCTCATGGCCTTTCCCCGAGTATCAGAGCTGCTGCTGTCCTACCCTCCAAACCCAGGCAGTGAGGACGCGGGGTCCTTCCTTCTTCCCCTCTCCTTCCTCTTCCTCAGGTACTCCTGAGAGCCTGCCCCACCCCAGGCCCTTGGTGATAGAGACATCCGGTGATGGGGCCCCAGGGCGGCGAGAGTGTCTGCTTGACGGGGGCTGGGGGGGGTGGTCCAGCATTCTTCCAGGGGATGGGCCTGGCCAGCGAGAAGGAGGAGGCAGTGAAAGTTGGGGGAGTCGGGCATCGTCTGGGTCAAGGTAGCCCCAGCATCCTAGAGCAGAGCCAGGCTGTGCCGCCCCCAGGGGGGCAACCAGAGCGGCCGCCGATGATTTGCTAGGAGGATTGGAGGGTGCTGGCTCCCCTGGATGGGGGAGGGGGGGGCGGGCAGGACAGTTGGCAAGGTGAGCACGGCCCAAGCCAGCATCCCTGGGACAGAGACCAGTCTCCGTTATCCCCGATGCACCCATCTGACGGCGGCTGGCCTCCGTCCCCTAGCCCCGTCCCAGGTGGTGGTGATCCGCCAGGAGCGGGCCGGGCAGACCAGCGTGTCCCTGCTGTGGCAGGAACCAGAGCAGCCCAATGGCATCATCCTGGAGTACGAGATCAAGTACTACGAGAAGGTACCAGCGGGGAAGGGCAGAAGGGGGAGGGGAAGCAGGCGGGAGGACCCTGGGCTGACCACCCCTCTCCTGGGCAGGACAAGGAGATGCAGAGCTACTCCACCCTCAAGGCTGTCACCACCAGGGCCACTGTCTCGGGCCTCAAGCCGGGCACCCGCTACATGTTCCAGGTCCGAGCCCGCACGTCCGCCGGCTGCGGCCGCTTCAGCCAGGCCATGGAGGTGGAGACCGGGAAACCCCGTGAGTGCGGGGAGCGGGGAGGGCGAGGGAGCTGGGCCAGGCCAGGTGCCGGGGGGCCCTGGTGGCCAAGCTGGTGCTTGTGTTGGAGTGGCATTTTTACAGGTGGAACACGGAGGCCCAGAGAAGGGAGGTAACTTGCCCAAGGTGACGGAGCCAGGGACGGCCCACCAAACACTGGCTGTCACTGAGTTATCAGTGAGTCTGGCCGGCATCATGGTGCCCTTTGCCAACAAGATCACTTATGCTTGTCCTAGAGACCCTCCAGTGAGTTGCCATTATCCACATCCCCATTTCACAGAGGAGGAAAATGAGGACCAGAGCAGTAGAGTGAATTGGCCAAGGTCACTCAGCAGAGCAGGATTTGAACCTGGTCAGTCTGGGGACAAATTCCGTGCCCCTTCCCCAGTCTCCTCCTGCCCCCAGGCTCCAGAACAGTGGTTCTCACGGCACGGGCTGGGACCAGCAGCAGCACCTGGGAGGTTTTGGAAATGCTGATTCTCAGGCCTTACCCCAGACCTTCTGAATCAGAAACCCTGGGGTGGGGGCCCAATAATTCAGGTTTTATCAAGGCCTCAGGGTGATTCTGAGGCACATTCAAGCTTGGGAATGCCCTGCCCCCATCTCCAGCTTCTTGGAGTCTTCTCTATGCTCTCTATACTGGGGTACCCTCCCGGGTGTGGTGCTAGGATTGAAAGGTTCAAGGCCGAGTTGATGGTGTGTCTCAAGTGCTCTGAGGTCTCACACCTTGTTGAGACTGCCCCGCTCGGAATCCTGCCCGGCTCCATCCCATTTACTGTGTGGTCTTGAGTAAGTTCCCCAAGTCTCTGAACCTCAGTGTTCTTGTCTAAAAACTGAAGATAATACTAGGATCTCTTGTAATTGGGACTGGAACGTGCACCTCTCAGCACATTTGGCTTTGTTACTGTTTGAACAACAGGCAGGACAGGCACATTACAGGTGGAAAACACAGGCTCCGAGAAGTCTAGAGCTTCTCTGGGGCTCACACAGTCCCGGGAAGTGCTGACACCGGGGTGGGAAGCCGGGAAGCCTGCGGCAGCAGGGTCTTGAAGGGGCAGCTTAGTAGAGGGGAAGGTGGGGGCAGAGGAGGAGGCGTCCTGTGACCCTGACCCAGGGCTGACTCACAGCTGAGGATGCTGCCCACCGGGCCCACCCGGGAGAGCCACCAGATCCCTGGGCCTGAGAGGCCGGTTCCCCCACGCTGCTCTCCCCCCACTAGGGCCCCGCTACGACACCCGGACCATTGTCTGGATCTGCCTGACGCTCATCATGGGCCTGGTCGTGCTTCTGCTCCTGCTGATCTGCAAAAAGAGGTGGGTGGTCCTGGTCCCTGCCACCCGAAGGCCCTCCTCTGGAGCCCTGTGTCTCCAGCCTGTCCCAAGCCCCACCAAGACAGTGGTCCCCTTGCACCTAGGTCTGGGTTCACTTCCGGGTATACCTGTTCTTCTTTCCTCCCTCGTGGAACACTTTCGTCTTGCCCCCATGCCCGGCCCTTCTCCATCCCTGCCAGCCCCTCTTCTCAAAACAGCCTCGGAAGGCTGGAGGACCCCACGCTTGTCCCGGACCCTCCTCTCTTCCCTATTCAGCCGGGGCCAACTTTTCTGAGTGACCTTACCAGGGCCCATGGCTAGGAACCCCACTGTCATGCTGACATTTTGTCACCAGCACACACCTCTCCCCTGAGGACCAGCCCCCGGCACCCCCAGACCTGCACCTCCCACAGCCTCCCCCCAGGACATGGCACCACTGTTCGTGGGGTCGCTCAAGCCCCAAAGCCCGTTGTCATCCAGACTCTCCCTCCCTGGCGCCATACCACATCCCCTCACCTGCCAGGCCCACGGGGACTCCCTCCAGGTGACCTCCTCCACCTCATTTAATCCTGTGATGCGGACATTCTGGTGTCACTTTGCAGGTGAGCTAGTTGGGGATCAGAGAGGTTAGGCCTCTTCTGCCAAGCAGATGTCAGAACTGGGACAGAAACCCAGGTCTGTAAAAACTAAAGTCATCGTTCCCTCCCCCACTCCATCCCAGAGAGAGGTGGAGACAGGACACTGTGCCTCGTGGGGGCTTAGGAGCCCAGTCAGCGAGGCCTGGAAACATCGTCCTGTACATGGAGACACGGGCCCAGGGAAGAGAGGGGGCTGGCCAAGGTCACACAGTATTATAAATACCAGAAGCCTCCTGTCCCCACCCCCCAAGGGTGGTTTCATGTAAAATGGGGCTTATGGTGTGTAGACTGCTGTGCGGGCCAAGCGCACTTGACTTCGTAAACTGCAATTGTCAGAGATGTCACCCTCCAGCCGGGTTGAGAGCCTGAGGGCGGGGACTCCCCTAGGAGGGAGGGATTCTGATCTGTCCCCGAATGGGGTCAGGGCTGAGGCTAGGGCTGCCCTCCACAGGCACTGCGGCTACAGCAAGGCCTTCCAGGACTCGGACGAGGAGAAGATGCAGTATCAGAATGGGCAGGGTGAGTGCAGGGGCCCAGGCACACGGGGCAGAGAGGAGGTCATGGTGGGAGCCGGCGCTGGTCTGGGGAGGGGACAGGCGGGGAGGAGCAGGGTGCCCACGGAAAAGACGAGAGCCCCGGAGATAGCAGGATGTCAGAACCCCGAGACCTCAGAGGCAGAGTGCTGTTCACCCTTACTGGGTTGGCAGACTCCAGCAAGGATGCTAGAAATCCTCTGCCCCGGAAATGCACACATTTGTGCACTCACACACAGTTTTGCCTACAGTTTGGGAGGCGGTGTGTCATATTCTCTTGGATAAGAACCCATGCTACAGAGAGCTTTCCCAGGACCCTGCAGAGACCCCAGAAAACGAGGCAAATAGGAGAGAGCCTACCTCCGTGCTTCATGTCTGTGCCCGTGGTAGACATTAGTATAAATTGTGGTACCGATTCTCAGTGAGCTTCGTGCAGCTTCAGAATCCTTCTTAACGCAGTTTTCTAAAGAACTCCTTTCGATCAAATTTGGCGTTTGTGATGTAAACGTTTTTGCTACATTTCTACCCCAGAGCAATTTAAAAAGACCTTAAAGACTCTAGAAGTGACCCCCCAAAAACAACAGATATGCTCAGAACTCACTGGAGACCCCAAAGTCCCCTAGAAAGCCCATAGCTCCTCCATAGAGAGCCCATTTTCACTTGGTAAGCACGTATTGGACACCTGCTGTTTGCCCCCACAACCTGAGCTTCCTGGGGATGCTCCTTACCCTCCACGCCCCACCCCAGACCTATCCCAGGCCCACGGAATGCTGCGAGAGACAGTCTCCTGCGTCCCACTGATGGCCTTCTCTCCTGGCCCCTCAGCACCCCCACCTGTCTTCCTGCCCCTGCACCACCCCCCGGGGAAGATCCCACAGCCCCCGTTCTATGCAGAACCCCACAATTATGAGGAGCCAGGCCGGGCGGGCCGCAGTTTCACCCGAGAGATTGAAGCCTCCAGGATCCACATCGAGAAAATTATCGGCTCTGGTGAGCCTTGGGGGTTGTGAAGGTGGGGACAGCACAGAGGGGTGCCTGGGGGAGGGGTGCCCAGGGCAGGGCGAGGGGGGATCACGGAGCACACGCTGGGGAAAGGGGGAGTGCCGGGGTCCAGGTGCAGAGTGGAGGGTCCCACAGCCGTCCCTTGCCTACCCCACTCGGGGCCCACAGGAGAGTCCGGGGAAGTCTGCTGTGGGCGGCTGCAGGTGCCGGGGCAGCGGGACGTGCCCGTGGCCATCAAGGCCCTCAAAGCCGGCTACACCGAGAGACAGCGGCGGGACTTTCTGAGTGAGGCGTCCATCATGGGTCAGTTTGACCACCCCAATATCATCCGCCTAGAAGGTGTCGTCACCCGTGGTAGGTGCCAGGCGAGAGCAGCCTCACCCTACAAGGTCCCTCCTGCCCCAGGACAGAAGTCTGGGTCCATCCCTGGACCACCGTGCTCTGCCCCTGCCCTGCCCCTGTCCCCCCTCCATCCCCCTGGTTCAGGTCCCCGGATGACTTGGTTGGGGAGGGGGGCCAGAGGCCGGGACCCCAGTGGGAACCCTAGGCTCCCTGAAGCCCTCCGTGCTAGCCCACCTCTTGGCAGCTCACAGAGGGGCCATGTTCCTGGGGTCTCTGATCAACAGACCTGATCCCCCCACCAAGAGCCACCCCCTCCTTCTACCCCTCCCCAGGCCGCCTGGCAATGATCGTGACCGAGTACATGGAGAACGGCTCTCTGGACGCCTTCCTGCGGGTGTGTGCCCCACCTTGCCTTCCCCGTGGGTTGGGAGGGGGTAGGGAAGTTCAGTCTGAGTGATGGGAGATAACGTCAGGCCTCCAAACACCCGCAGGAGCTTGGACCCAGTGGACCTGGGGTAGGGGAGTGAGGAATAGGGAGGGGTCTTAATCAAATTGTCTTGCAGCCCCCCTTCACATGAAGGGCCCTCCGCAGCATGGGGTCCTCTGCCCTGCACACAGGCTAAGAGGGGTGCCTCCGTGGAGACCCAGTGCCCCAGCCAGCTGGGAGGCATGGCGGGTGTGGTGGAAATGGCTAGCCTCCAGCCCCCGCCCTGTCATTTATTTGCTGAGTGTTCAGGCCCAGGGCTTCACCTCTCTGGGCCTCCGTTTCTCCTTCTGCAAAATGGGTAAGAAGTCATCACAGCCCCACCTCCCTCTCAGGGTCGCTATGAGCGTAAACGAGACCATGAGAAGGAGCTGAAACAGGAACGTGCTTCATAAGAAGTGAAGATACTTTGCAAGCGGCGTGAGCCTTGCTGAAGCCCAGCCATGTCCCCCTACAGACTCACGACGGGCAGTTCACCATCGTGCAGCTGGTGGGCATGCTCAGAGGCGTGGGGGCCGGCATGTGCTACCTCTCGGACCTGGGCTACGTCCACCGAGACCTAGCTGCCCGCAACGTCCTGGTTGACAGCAACCTGGTGTGCAAGGTGTCCGACTTCGGGCTCTCCCGGGTGCTGGAGGACGACCCTGACGCAGCCTACACCACCACGGTGCGTGGTCCCCCCACTTTCCAGTGGGACTGGGGAGGGCTCCCCCACACGTAGTGAAGTGAAGCTGGAAATGTTGGGGTTGCCTTCAACCTGGGGCAAGTCCTACCTCTTCTCTGTACCTCGGTTTCCCCCTCTGGGAATTGGGAGCCCCCTTTCCCACCTTGCCTGTATACTGGGTGGCCTGGAGAGACACCAGGGCTGGTCCCCACTGTCACTCAGTCTCTGGGAGGTTTTGGGAGGGTCCGTGTCTGTCTGAATCACAAATCCACTGCACATCTGTCTGTAAGGATTGGCTAAACACTAGTGTCCGCAGAACCTGTTCCATAGAGACGCGGGCTTCTTGAGAGAAGCCTTGGGGGCCACCTTCAAGGCAGGAGGCTGAGTGGGCCGGGGCTCGGGCCTGCCCACCCTGCCTCAGTGAGAAGCTTCCGTCGGGGTCTGAGCATCTGAGCATCTGGACAAGGTTTCCCTTAGAGAAAGGATTTTGTGACAAAAACAGAAACAAACAAGAAGGAAAGGAAGGAAGAGCAGTGAGATAATGAGCAAGCCATGTCCCGCGGGCTTCGTCCCTTGTCGGGGTATCAGCCTGTTAACTAACTGGCGCTTACTGAGCAGCTACTATGTTCCAGGCACACCACACACTTCCTTCGCTCAGTCTTCAAAATAGCCATGAGTGCGGGTCCCCCGAGCAGAACAGGGGCTCTAGGCAGGTGGAGGCCGTGGCTCCGCTCCTGGGCTGCCCAGTTCCCAGCCCTGACCCAGCGCTCGGCTCCCCGCCTCGGGCTGGGGAGAGGCCCTCAGGACTTGTGTGTGTCTTGCAGGGAGGCAAGATCCCGATCCGCTGGACGGCCCCCGAGGCCATCGCTTTCCGGACCTTCTCCTCGGCCAGCGACGTGTGGAGTTTCGGTGTGGTCATGTGGGAGGTGCTGGCCTACGGGGAGAGGCCCTACTGGAACATGACAAACCGTGACGTGAGTCCGGGACCCCGGCTGGGCAGAGGCCACGTGGGACGTCGGAGGGGGCGGGCGGCCTCCAGCCCAGCATTGTGCTTGCCCCCCCAACCCCAGGTCATCAGCTCCGTGGAGGAGGGGTACCGCCTGCCCGCGCCCATGGGCTGCCCCCGCGCCCTGCACCAGCTCATGCTTGACTGCTGGCAGAAGGACAGGGCCCAGCGGCCTCGCTTTTCCCAGATCGTCAGCGTCCTCGATGCCCTCATCCAGAGCCCTGAGAGTCTCAGGGTCACTGCCACTGTCAACAGGTGCCTGGGGCCCACCCCAGCTCTGCCCAAGCCCAGCTGCTCTCCCAGCATTTCCCCAGATAAGGCCCAGACTTAGTGTGAGCCCTGACAATGGGACCACACCTAGCTGGGGTCTCAAAGCCCTGACCTGCCTTGTCCCCTGACGCTTGTCAAGGCTGGACCCCTGACCCCTGCCTTACCTGGGCCCCTGAGCCCTGAGCTTCCTGGGCCCCTGACCCCTGTCCTGCCTGGGCCCCTGAGCCCTGAGCTTCCTGGGTCTCAGCCCGGTCCTGCCTGAGCTTTCCTCAGCCCTCTGCTTTTCAGGCTTGGGGCTAGCCTGTCAGACCCTTTGCCCACTACCGAGCCTGCATGGATGCTGAGGGTGACTAGTCCCAGGGTCCCTGAGGAGGGCAGAGGCCCTGGCAGGCCACTTACCAAGGGCCCTTGTGCCTCAGGTGCCCCCCCCCTGCCTTTGCCCAGAGCTGCTTTGACCTTCGTGGGGGCGGGGGTGGCGGCGGGGGCCTCACCGTGGGGGACTGGCTGGACTCCATCCGCATGGGCCGCTACCGGGACCACTTCGCCGCCGGCGGGTACTCCTCCCTGGGCATGGTGCTGCGTATGAATGCTCAGTGAGTGAAGGGTCGGGCGGGGCCCGTGGGGGTGCGGACAGGGGAGGAGGGCAGGGGCCCAGAGGCAGGGCCACCGAGGAGGTTGGAAGCTCCAGGGAATGGGTCTACCCCTGGCCCCATGGTTCCCAGCCTCCCAGGCCGACCAGGTCAGCACCACACTTCCTTCACAGGGACGTGCGTGCGCTGGGCATCACCCTCATGGGCCACCAGAAGAAGATCCTGGGCAGCATCCAGACCATGAGGGCCCAGCTGACGAGCACCCAGGGGCCCCACCGGCACCTCTGAGCCAAGGCCAGTGGGGCCTGGGCAGCAACTCAAGCAGACCTGGGACATGTCGGCCATCAGAGGACTTGCAGGGTTGGCGGGGGGTCAGGCAGCCCCCCAAGCCTCTGTCCCTCCTCTCAGGTGCCAAGATCTCCACCACAGGACCTGGACTTAGCAGGGCTCAGGCTGCCTGGGAAGGGGCGTTCGGTGCCCAGCTTGGCTGCGACATCTGCCCCCAGGGCGGAGGGGCTTCTCTTCCCCAGAGGCTGGGGCCTCAGTGACACGGAGCCTGACAGAGACGTCACTCGGCTGCCTCCGTGTGTGCGTGTGTGTGTGCGTGTGTGTGTGTGTGTGTAGGGATGTTTTCATGAGGTCGTGGGAGCCTTTGTGACCATGTGTGCGTGTCCACCCATCAGGTCCGAGCACGGATGTGTGCTTATGGCGTGCATGCTTTTCCATTATGGTGGGGGGCACACGTGCGTGACCGTGGATGAATGAGGACGTGTGTCACAGGCCTGTGAGCACAGAACTTGGTGTGACGCTGCCCACTGAGTATGGGCCCAGGCCCCAGCACCCACAGGGACTAGGGAGAGGCTCATGCCCACCTCCCCCCACACCTGGAGGCTGGAATTAGGGGCCACTTTGGGGCTGCACCAGCACCAGGCCCACCCTCATTTCAGCCCGGGCAGGCCCTCCCCCGGCTCTCTCTCAGGTCTGAGCCCTCCCTCTAGCAGGTGGGGGGCCACCTGCAGCCTCCACCTGGCTCCCACCGCTGCTTCCACAGGAAAACAGGGTTCCCGGCCAGCCCCTCTGGCTGCCTACTGTGTAGACATCGCTGTAGAGTACACAAGATGCCCTCAGCTGGACTTGGCTGCCTGGTCAGCGGCCAGGGCCGTGAACTTCCCTCTGGGCCCCAGTGCCCCTCCATGTCCCAGGGCTCCTCACTTGGAAGACCCTCTGCCAACCTCTCACTGCCCAGCCCTGGCCTGCGCCCCTCCCTCCTCAATCCTAAGATCAGGGACCATAAGATCCCAGATTTTCAGCCCCACGTCCACCCCCTCTTGTGCCACCTGGGGAGACCAAGACCTAGAGAGGGGGGTGTGCCTTGTCCAAGGTCACACAGCAACCAAGTTTTAGAGCTGAGGCCGCCTGCCTCCCAGCCCAGGGCTCTTTCCCCCACACACCATCCCACACTGACAGCTGTGGGTGAGAGGGGGCTTCGGAAGCTCCCCCACCCTGAGACTGACCCTCCCCTTTACGGCCCACCAGGGTATGTAAATATCTTTTTTCTACCATGCCAGAATATTTTTTCCTCGCTCCTGACAATGCAAAAATGGTCTTCAAAGCACATAAAGAGCACCCAGGGTGAGAAAGCACCATCCCAGGGGAAGCTTGGTGGGCAGGGCCCAAGGAACCCCACTGGGCAGGTTGCCTTGTGCCCCCTGCCGGCCCCAGAGGGAGGGGCAAGCCCAGCTCCCCACCCCCTGCGCAGCCCTCCCCCTAGCCAGCACAGCTGTTCTGCAGAGACACCAGCACTGAGCCCCCCCCTTCCTCCTGCAATAATTTGGGGAGTCTCAGCCCCGCCTAGGTGCTGCGGCCAGCTCTCTACACCTCTATATATTATATTACTATATAGCTGAGCTGTTCTTCCTTCCTATGGAAGTCGGAAACATGGTCAGGACACGATCCAGGGAGGACCCTGTCTGCCTCCCACCCCCACCCCACTCTCACCCAGTTCCTGGTCTCTGATCCTCACAGTCAGGGTGGACATGGAGGGCCCGGCACTTGCAAAAGTGTGGCCCCTGCCCCGGGCGTGAGGTACCCTTGGGGTCCCAGGGATCTGCTTCTCTGTGGTCTTCATCCTGAGTCTTGAACTTGCCCACAATGAGAATAAATTCTGCCTCATTCTGCCTCATCTTTGCCTGTGTCCCCCATCTTTTCCCCATCCTTTCAACCTCAACATCACCTGGTAAGAGAGCAGCCTTATGCTGTGCACCTACTGTATGCATCCCATACATTTTTTCTGCTCTGATCTTCTCATCTATCCCAGGAGATAGGATTCATGCACCAATTTTATATATGGGGAGGCTGAGTCTTACAGAGGTCAAGTCACCTGAAGTCAAGTTTGGGGGATACTGAGCCAGGACCCTGGTTTTTCCAACTCCAAAGCCCATGCTCTGCTAGGAAGCACCCCCACAGGCCCCAAATTCTCTCTTTCAAGATGTGCAGATGGTGCTTAACACTGGAGCACAGTTGCTTGCAAGCGAGCATTGCCCTTGCCTCAAGTGCTCTTATGGAAGAAAGATCTCCTCTGGCGGAGGAACACATGAAGGAAGGAGCATTTCATAGGAACAACTTCCTTGGGACCAACGGGTCCATTGAGAGACCTGGGTGCCATGGGCAGGGGAGGGATGCAAGTACGTGCTATAGTGACATCAGGGGCTGAGGACTCATCTCTGCTCCAGGGGAGGGCGCACAGCAGGAGCCAGGGCAGCGGCATCGGGGGCAGAGCAGAGCCCTACTGTGTCCATTTGGGGAAGATGCCCCTGGGGATCCTACTGATGAGCAAGCAGATGATCTCCAGCGGCTCGTCAAGCTGAGGGAAGGATCTTCATTCCTGCACCTCCCTCAAATTGGAAACGTAGACCAAGGAGAAAACATCTTACTGTGTTCCCTTCATTGTCTCACTAATAATGCCAACAGCCCTATGAGATTGGTAATATTGTCTCCATCTTACAGTTGGGCACAAGCATGCTCAGGCCAGTGTCCCAACTGGCAGAATGACCACGTAAAGCTAGAACTGTCTGATTTCTAGCCAGGTGTGTTTCTCCTGAAACTCTAAACTCTGCTCCAGGCCTCCTCCCCATGGCACTAGCCATTTCCTATGAGGAAGAACTTGTTACTACACACTTCTTTCCCTAAGGGAAGGAATCGTCAGGGCCTCTGGAGCACTTGCTATGTGCTGGGTGACACTGGGGGATACAAAGATGAAGGCAGACCCTTCAGAAGCCAAAACTAGGTGGAGGTATGGAATGCACAAGAGTGGCTCCCAGCCAGATGGCTATGCTAAGTGTCCAGGAAATGGGGCACACAAAAGGATCAGGGGAAATTAGAGGAGAGAAAGCCTGGAGGGCCAGGGCTGTCACCAAGGACTTCCTGGAGGAGGAAGCATTCAGCTGGGCATTGAAGGACGAGAAGGATTTGGTGGTTCATTTCCCTTGTGTGAGGATGGATGCAGAGAAGAGGAAGAATAATAGCCAGAGAAGAAACAATGGGGTCCCTGTCTAGGAAGCCTTGCTATCATAAAGTCAGCTAGTCCCCTCCAATTTAATCTATACATTGTATTTCCAATAAAATTTGCAGTGGAGTTTTCTCTGCAACTTGACAAGGTCATCCCAAAATGTATATGGAATAATAACCTAGAATAGCCAAGACAATTTTGAAGAAGAAAAAAGAGGAAGAGGAAAGGAACCTCACCCTACCAAATGTCAACAATTACTATACAGCTCTAATAATTAAGATAGTTTTATTTGGTTCTGGGAATACAGAAACAGTTAAAAAGAATAGAGAATAATAATGCTTAGGGATGGATCCAAATATATATGAGAGTTTGAAACATGACAAGGGGCAAAGGATGGTCTAGTTAATGGGTGATATTAGGACAATTAAATACCCCCATAGGAAAAGATAAAATTGGATCCCTGCTCATACCACTCACAAAATAAATTCCAGGTTGATTAAGGTTTAAATGTAAAGAGCAGACCATAAAACTTTCAAAGGAAAACAGGAAGATAACTTTATAACCTTAGAGCAGAAAATAAGCAAGACACAAAAAAGCACAAATGATAAAGGAAAACAATGTTAAACCTTATTTCAATCAAATTGGAAACTTCTACATGGCAAAAAAGAAATAGATTTGTTAGAGCCATAGCTGGGGGAATATTTGCAAGCTGTATGACCAACCAAGAGAGAATTCGTTTCCAAAACAAATTTTTTTTTTATTTCAAAGAATCAATTTACCAAAACATTTCAAAGCATAACAAAGTGGGCAAAGATTCGAACAGACAAATAAAAGATGAAGAAATTTGAATGGCCAATAAAGGTATAAAAGATATTCTCAACATCACTAGTAAACATGGAAATGCAAATTAAAACAATAACGAGATAGGTATTACACCAATTTGATTGGGAAACTTAGTCTATAACGCAGGCATTGATGAAGGTGTTGGGGGAATAGGAACGTTTATAAACCACTAGTGGAAATGTAATTTGGTGCGACTACTTTGGAGAGCAATTTGGAAACACTTAGTAAATTTTAAGATGAGCAAATCTAAGACCAAGCAGCTCCACCTTAGTGTGTGTTTGTCTTAGATTAAGTTCCCTAAGTAGTGCCTGAGATTCTTGTGCAGGTGATTTACTGAGGGAGCGCTCCCAGGTGAAGGAGAGAGGGGAAGGCAGATAGGGTGGGAGGGAATGCTAGGCAACAATATGTTCTTGTTGGAGATTAGCTTCAATCTGATGCCGCAGGGAGCTCTGGAGCATTAATAGCAACACAGAGTTGATCTGCCTTGAAGCAAGGGGGCCAGACTTGTACCCTTGTCAGTCATTGATTACCCATAGGCTGCCTGCTCCATTGTGGGAGGGTGGGTGGTGTTGTATAGTATATCTTCTTGGGCGAGGAGGTTCCCAGGAAGGGAGCAGCTATGGGCTCTTAGCAGCCAACACTTAGGGCAGCTGCAGAATGAGTGCACCTGCAGGTCAAAGGAATCTGGGCAGGTCACCCACAGTGTTTTCTATGCATCCTAGGGAAACTCATACTCACATGCAAAAGGATACATGTCCAAGGATATTCACTGCACCTTAGTATGTAATAGAAAAATGAGGAGCAGCCTAACTCCTCTCAGCAGGGGAACAGGAAAATAAGCTGCTTTATAAGTACAATGAAATCATCTATCACAGTTAAAATGAACAAACTAGATCAACATGTACCAATAGGGATAAGTCTCTATGACATAATATGGAGTGAAAAAATAAACTACAAAGGAATATGTACAGTATTATACTATTTATGTAAACTTTAAAAATATATGTCACAATAGAATTACAGGTTTTGGATGCATAACTCGATAATAACAATACAAAAACATGCCTGGGACAGAAAAACACTGGCTTCAGCTCAGTCAGTTCTGGGGAAGAAGAGCAAGGGGTATTGAGCTGGATTGACTGTGTTTTATTTGTTTTCCTTTTTAAAAAGAGAGGGTTGTGAGGCAAATATGGGGAAATGTTAACACCCATTTAATCCTGGGGGGCACATCCGCGTCTGTTACTTTATGAGTTTTCTGTATATTGAAATGTTTTATAATTAAAAATAAAGATGTGTAAAAACCACAAGGGAGGAAGGAGTTCCGAGAGCTGCCCTCAGGAAGCTCAGTGTCTCCTGAGAAATAGGATCAGGCTTTGGCGAGGGCG